GGGAGAGAGAGAGAGAGAGAGAGAGAGAGAGAGAGAGAGAGAATCTTAAGCAGGCTCCATGCTCAAAAAGGAGCCTGACGCAGGGCTTGATCCCGTAACTGTGGAATCATGACCTGATTCAAAATCAAGTGTTGGATGCTCAACTGACTGAGCCACCCAGGTGTTCCTGGAAGGTAGGAATACGGAATCATCTTAAAGGTACTGAGCTCCAGTGCTATCTTTGCTTACTCAATGACTGGGGGAGGAAAACAGAGAGGTCTTCCCAACAGATTATATTCAGCCATCTTGAGCATGGATCAGCAGACTCTTTTGCAAAGGACCAGGCAGTAAATATTTTGGGCTCTGAGAGTCATACAGTCTCTGCCAAAACTACTCAGCCACAGACACTCGTTAAAAAGTTGTGATGGTATTCCAGTCCAGCTTTATTTATACAAACAGACAGCAGGCTTTAATTTGCCATCTGATGCATTAGAGTCATGCTTCTCAAACCATGTGTTGTGAGGGCCTTTTTGCCCTAATTATTTATGGATGGATGCTTTTGTAAAATTTTTACATTAGGGGCGCCTGGGTGGCTCAGATCGTGAAGCGTCTGACCCTTTATTTTGGCTCAGGTCATGATCTGGCAGTTCATGAGTTCAAACTCCACATCAGGCCCTGTGCTGAGAGGGTGGAGCCTGCTTGGATTCTCGCTCGCCTGTTCTCTCTGCCCCTGCCCCACATGTGCATACGCTCTCTCTCACACATAAATAAACATTTAATCATATATGGTCTTGATAAAGATTTAAAAAAAAATTAATGCAATAAGTTTACCATTTTCACTTGCATTACTTCCTTCCCTAACATACTGAAACAATAAACCTTAAATAGATTAATGAATCTGTTTTACCGGCTTTACTTACAGTTTTCTGGCTTGGATCCCAACTCTTCTACTGATTGCATGCTGTGAATCTCAAATCCTTCAGGGTATTCTGCTTTATTGATAGTCTTATTGTCCACATAAATGATATGTTTAACACAATTGATATCTAACAATGCAGTCTGTTAAGCAGAAAAAAGATCCAGCTATTAAACATGAGTCTGCAATAAACTCAATTATTGGACATTTTCATGGCCTGTCAGACAACACTACCATGAATTAAAAGAAATATTTTTATTTACCTTAAGTTTACTTTCCAGAAGTTCAACACTAGTAATCAGGTAGGTAGCCTCAGATTCATTTAACCCATGAACTACGGCTTCTTTGCCAAGAGTGGCATATAAAGTCACAACTACATAATAAAAAAATAAGCACAAATGTGAAATCATTAAACATTTAGGAGGTACATTATTTAAGCCAGCCTTTTGTGATAGGTACATTCATGGATGCATACACATCGTATAATGTAATTTCATTTCATAGTCTCTACCATTACCTTTCAACACTGCCTCAAACTTCTAGGTAGCTCCAACTTTTCCTTACAAATTTGCAAGATTCTAACATCGTAAACCCGAAGAAACCCAGAAATATTGGAGGTGCCACAACTGTTCAAAAATTAGGCAATCAAGATTCTCAAGGCCAGTAAGTTTCTGGCTGATCTTCTAATTCAGGTCAGAGCTCGCCTACCTAGGACTACCTATGATGCACATGTTCATTGGCCATGGTATCAAAGAGTAGATAAGTCCTTGAGAATCTTTAGACTGAGGATCTCAAGTCAGAATCATGTTCTTGATCCTTCTAGGGAGTTTTTTTAGTGGGTCCAATGTCTACACTGATTGGCGACCTCCTAGCCTTAACTGGGTGGCCAAAGAGATCTATTCTTTAGGAGCTACCAGACAAAGGAAATATGAGCTGAAACCAGGATCATTTAGAATCAAAGGACATCTGCTAAACTTAGACCAGGTTGGAAATTCAACTCTAGGCTCATAACCAAAACAGTGACGTGGTTAAGAAAGGGCCACTTTTCACAAGTTGTTGATTGTTGAAGCTGGGTGATGGGTACATAGGGGATCATTTCATATTCATTTTTGTTGGTCTGAAATGCGAACTCCTGATTCCTACACTACACCTGTACTGTTCTACTTCATTCAGTAAAAAGCTGTGTGCCTAGTACACGACAGGCACTATTCTGGACTTAGAATTTTTTAAAAAAAATTTCATGAACAATGGCAAAAACAAATGGTTGTGAAGCAGGAAGACACCCAACTTTACTTTCTGGCCAAGATACCTAATGTGCTCATTTCACATGTAAAATTGAATAAGTGAAATGAGAGGCCCTGGAAGTGAAGCAATGAACTAGAATTATCCTAAGCAATGATACTTTTGTTTTAATCATTATTTTGTGTGTCACTTCCTAAAAAACACACCCAAGCCCCAAATATTTTAGGCACAGTTCACTTCCAATTGAAAAGCAAAGTCCTAAATTCTATCCATTAAGCTGCCAATTAATTCCCATGCTGGCTCTTAGAAATTAATTTGACAGGCATCTTCAGATATCTTTTAACTACATTCTGTACTGCTTTATGGATATAAATGATGCAGCAAAACTGCTAAAGAACACTACCTTAAAAACAATAGGATCATAGGACAATTCCACATGTTACTAAAACCCTTTCTGTCCCCCTCCAAAAACACAAGGCACTTACGAGGGAAGTTGTACTTAAAGCAGGTCTGTGCCGCAATCATCCATTCAGCCCTGGTCTCACAGAAAATGGCAATAGTGTTCTTTGGTTTTAGTCCCAATGCAGTGAGTCCACTACCAAAATTATTCACTCTGCGGTTCACTTCGAGATAGCTCATCCACTTATAACTCCCAAGAATTAACTGTTAAGGGGAGACATTCTCTGAATATCAGTATATTCAAACAAGCAATTAAAATACTATTCCAAGTGTACAGCTCTAAAATTGCCTTTAAGTGAATATACAGAAGCCATGAGCACCTTCTGAGAATTGGTTAGGCCAGCATATTTAAATGGAATGGCAGCATATTTAACATGCATTTGATTTATGATAAAGTAAAAACATACCTTCCCCTTAAAACAAATTAAAAAGCACAGAAATGCTGTACCTTCTTAAAAACCTTTCCATTTGGCTGCATTTCATTTTCTTCACTTAGGATCTCTCTGGTCCCAAGGCTGTCCTTCTTCCCAAACTTGGACACAGCATGATCAAATAACTTATCCAGAGTGTCTGCTCCAGGGATGTCTATGACAGCTAGCGAGTCGAAGTGCGTGACAGAGCGATATGGACTTCCAGGTTTGTCTGAAGTGGGCTTAGCTTTTATTCTCTTTGCCATAGCGTTTTTCTTCTTGGCATTGGTAAGAAAATACCATGGAATAAATATAAGGGCACTGTATATTGTTATTAACAAGTGGACAGGCAGCAAAATAATGGTGAGCACGTTTAGCCTAAGTTTCATAGTGGCAAGGCTTCTAAAATGGTGTTTATTTCTTGTTATTCTTTGGCTGCAGAAAGCCTTATTTTGCTGAAGAAGGCAATAATGGAAGCAGCGGTAAGAGGAGCAGTATAGCCAAGGCAGTTCAATTTTAATGATACAGATAAAAGTTAGTAATCTTTGGAAGCCGACAATAAAGTACACCTGTAGGTGAAGACAATGAACCAGGCAGAGAGCAGGAAAAAAAAAAACAAAACAAAACAAAAGAGTATTAACAAGTTGATAGCAACATTGATTTAAATACTCAGGTTTTCAGTAGTTTTTATAATTGATTTGATACAGCAAGTTGAAATAACTGGTCTGAAAGACTGGTATTTTCCATTTTAATCATTATTTCTATAAACTTCTCAATTTATTATCATTATTATTGGTTTTTAGGTATACCCTATTCTGTCTATCACTCTGCAAGTCACTTGAGTGACACTACTTCAGTGCATACACAAATGCATGGATATGGTATTTTAGCTTGGCTAAACTTCGGGAATGCCAATAATGAGGTTGCTCTTAAGTATGCACATGTAAGCCAGGTAGTTTTAAACAGGAATAGGTTTTATATCCCAAAGGGAGAAATCCACCAGTTTAGGCTTACTTCTCAATGCTCAACCCAGAGATACTATTCTGAGTTCTTCATTAAGGTAAATTTCTACAATAATGCTATGCATTATCTCCCCCAAATTGGAACAATACAATCATAAAGTCACTGCTTAAGTGTCCATTTTGTGCTCAAAATTGCACCCAGTGCCTGGAAGAAGGAGGAGGGGGAAGGAGGTCCAAAGTAGTGTAAGACCCAGCCCTTGCTCATTACCAGTTACCACTAATGAGGCCATCTGCACATAAGACACATCTAATATTTTTCAAACGTTTTGGAGGGGGAGGGGCAGTGAAACAAACCACTCCTTCAAATAAACATGCCTGTCAACGTTCCACACGTGCAAGCAAAGTGGAACTGCTCTGGCTGAACTCGGGGGTGAGGGTGTGCAGAGTCCCACCCCGGACTTCCTGGAAGCCCACTACCAGAATGAACACTGAAGCATTTCCAATGAAAAGCCTGCTGGAAACACCTAAGTGCTGCGGCGTGTGGTACAATCACACGCCAACAGCCATCTTGAGGAAGTGCAGAATGGCTGGTGGCACTAAGGGGAGCTCTGTGGATAGTAGACTTTTAAACTGGACCTGATGTTGGGGATCTGGAAAAGAAGGAAAAGGAATGGAGAGCATTTTGGGCAGAGAAACCACATGGGAAGATACAGGGGTAGGAGTGAAAGAGCTTTGGGAGAGTAGGGGATGCCCGTAAGAAGGACACTAGCCTGACTGGGGCATACAGCGAGTACATGTTGGCTAAACAGGCTATGAGTAGTGCAGGATCTAACAAATCAGACCAAGTAATTTTGACCTGATTGAATCAGACAGAAAACCGGAGGCCGCTGCAGGTCAGAAAAATAGTGCCAATTGGAAAGAAATGGCCTCAGGGATGATCATAACTCATAGGGAGCTTGTCTTCACCTGAGAAAGCTATTTTGGTGAGTGGCAGTGTATTTCAACTACAAAAATTAAAATAACAGTTCACTTCGAGCAGACAAATTGAATAAACCCATCCTTCTGCAACTCTTGTGGAAATAGACTATTGAACCCAGGACAGTTGTTTGTTTTTACACCAATTACCGTAAAGTGGTTAGCTTAATCCTGCCTCTGCTTTAGTTCATGCCTTGCAACTGAGTGGGGCAAGATGAGCAAGAAACTATGGGTACAAAGACCTGGGTTTCAGTCCCTATCTCTGTCACTAACTGGCTGTGAAAGCTTGGGCCGAACAAGCTATCTGAGCTTAAAGTCAGACTAGGTCCGTAGCCCTTTACTTCCTAGAGGTGACGGGCCCTTTTGAGAATCCAATTGCAGAGTATAAACCTAAGATATGCAAACTGGTATATGTGATTTTACGGGGTTTGTGAGTTCCCTGAAATCCATCCATAAATCCCAAAGGGTGACACCAACCCTGAACTATATGAACTGCTGGCTTAAATGATTTCCTGGGGTCCTTTTGACTTTAAATTTTGAGATTTATCCTACCTAGAAATTGCTTCCTCGGTCTGACAAGTCTGGTCATTCATCTCTTCAAGACAAAGTATGCCAAGTGTCCACCATGATTTCTGGTCTTCAATATGCAAGATCCCCCCCTCTAACAATCCTCCATCATCCATTTCATGATGACTCAAATCCATAATAATCTTGCCTTTTTCTAACCTCCTACATCACTTGAAATGTCTACCACTCATTTTGATCCTTGACTATATTACCAATATTCCAAACATCTAAGCCCTTAAGTCTACAGTAGGGATCGGTAGTTCTCAATCCAATCAAACCCGACACCTCTTTCGCAGAACAAATATTCTGTAATACTCTCTTATTAATCTTGAAAGGTAGTCATAGATGATAATCCATTTACATACATAATTTTTAAAAATAATTCCTTACTGGTAGTAGAAAGGAGTACCAAAAGGACATTAATTCAAGACACAACAATACTTATTTCAATACATAAATTCTCAGAGACAGTACCAGAAGCCCCGCTCCAAAGTCTCCAAATTGATATTATACCCTAGTGAGTACCACCTCATCTTCAAGTGAGAAACTGTCAGACTTGGGGCTGAAGATATATAAAGAAGACAGCTTTTGAAGGGTTTATAATCTAAGTGGATTAGTTACATTATTCATTTTTTTTAAATCTTTTATACATATTTGCGTTAAGCCTTGGAAATAGGGAAATGTCTTCTACTTAATCATAACATAGAGACATTGGCATACACACACACACACACACACACACACACACACACAACAAAACACAACACATATACACAGTAGGCAAGCCTCGAAGAACATTCAGGTGAGGAGAGATCAGAAAGACATCAGTTAGTCCAGGCATTTTCAAATTCTTTCTGGTGGTGATGAGGGGGGCCTGGGTCATCCATTTGAATAAAATCTTATGTGAACATGAAAATATAAATACATATATAGATAAAAGCAAAACACAGAGCTGCTTGGAGGGGGGAGGATTGACAGCCCCTGACAGGACTCCTTGGAACCCCAAATTCAGCTGAATGTTTGACCCGCTGATGTTGTCGGTGAATGAGTGACAACTGGGGCTCGTCCCCTGGTCTGGTGCTCATTCAAGCCCACTGGCCAGCCTTTGCCCAATGTCACCTGTCATCTGAAAATCTTTCCTTGCCAAAGGTCTTCCAAAGTTACATCCAGGTCTATGGATAAACTGACTTCAAGAAAAGAGGAGAACATCTACCCTGTGTAAGTCTGAGCCCTTAGAACAAAGATGAGTAAAGCATGCATGGCTCAATCTTTTATATGCATGTACATATGTGTTTATATATATGGTAGGGGGCAGGGAAATCAATTCACAAACATATAGAAAATGTAGAATGTAATATATCCTGTAGGAGGGACACCAGGCTGGCTCAGTTGGAAGACATGTGGACTCTTGATCCTGGGGTCATGAGTTCAAGCCCCACACTGGGTGTAGACATTACTAAAGAAAACAAATACTAATAAACTTAAAAAAGTGTGTGTGTGTGTGTGTGTGTACATACATCTCCGGTAAGAATAAAAGGATAAATATATTCAAAGGGGGGGGGGGGACTGTATCCAGTTTGGGGGGAAAAAGAGATGGAGGAAGTAGAACCAGCTGGAAAGATTTCACAAAAACATAGTAGTTGAGGTAGGTGTGAAGGATGGTACGTTTTCAAAAGGAAAAGAAAAAGAGCAGAGAATGAGGACAGTCCTATCAGAGGGAACAAACAAACAGATGAGCAAATGGATGGAAGCAGAAGGGCACAGGATGGATGTGAGAAATGGCAAGTAGTGTAGCAGATGCCTAAGGCTTTCGGTGTAAGATCCTGCTCCATGTTTGGGATCTAAGACAATGGGAAAACTGCATTTTTTTTCAGAGCCAACTTCACTAGCATGTAGCTATACTGTAAGAGTCACGTGTGTACGATGATTTAGCAACTCAGGAGTCACCCCTTGGTTATTGTATTAAAGGAAAATATACTCTGCAGACGAGAAAGGCTGAGTTCCTGGGTGGTAAATGGGTTAAACCGAGGTAGAAGATCTGGGTCTCACCGCACATGTGCTGCTGAGTGTGACTCTGAACAGGTCATATGACCTCTCACTTAAAAGCTCTGTATCTCTTGGGGCGCCTGGGTGGCTTAGTCGGTTAAGCGTCCGACTTTCGCTTAGGTCATGATCTCGCGGTTCGTGGGTTCAGGCCTGCGTCGGGCTCTGTGCTGACTGCCAGCTCAGAGCCTGGAGCCTGTTTCAGTCTGTGACCCCCCTCTCTCTCTGACCCTCCCCTGCTCACGCTGTCTCTCTCTCTCTCTCCTAGAAATAAATAAAACATTAAAAAAAATTAAAAAAAAAAAAAAGCTCTGTATCTCTGTATAAGCTCACGTATAAAACAGGAATACGGCTTGCACTATCTACCTGGTGGCACTGTTGGGCGAATCCTTCCCCATGGCCAGCTTACATTCCATGGGCAATAATAATCAGGCTCTGGAATACACTCTCGAGTGTCTTGCTCCTCTCCTACTTTGCTGTACTTCATCAGCTAAACCATACCCAGGTTGGAATCCAATCCTCCACTGAAGTCTGTACCTGTACCCATACAGCTGAATTTGGCTGGAGAAAAAATGGACGGTGCTGAGTGTCCCCTTTACTTACTCCTGTCTATTTGAGAAGGACCTGGCTGTGCTGCTCCACTGACTCTCCCCTCACCCACCCCATTAATTTTCCCTGTTTCACTGAATCATTTCCATTAGCATTGTAACAGCCTATCATTTCTCTCACTGTAAAAACCATTCCCTCTCTCAGACATTCTTCTCTGGCCACAGCCCCCTATCTTCTCTTTGGGACTCCTTGAGAGTTGCCTATACCCTACATCTCCCAGTCCTTTCCCTTTATGTCCTCTGGAACCTACTACTATGGCTTTTACCCACTACCAATTCACACAATTGCTCTGATGGAGGGCCCTGGTGATTTCCATGTGTCACATCCCAAGGTCAGTTAAGGCTCCCTCATCTCCCTCAAATCATTAGCAGCCTTTGACATAGCCGCCCCCTCTGCTCCTGACTGAAACTGCT